ATTTCAACAACAAAACACTCCCCTCATCTTCCTCTACACACTCATACCCACCAATCCAATTCTCCCCCAGTTTTCAGAGGTCCGAAAAAACTCTACCCCCACCTTCAAATTTCGGATTTCAAGCCCAAATTCACTCAAAAATGGCTCCAAGGAAGGAAAAAGGACAGAGCTCCAACACTAGGGCACCCATCCCGGGCTATGAGGACATCATCTTCATGGACAACGAACACCGCACCCGCTTCATGTCCACCATTGAAAGGCAAGTTAAACCCTCTCGCTTTTTATGCCATTAAGCCCTAAATGAATTAAGAGTGTACAAAATGACTAAGAAATTTTTTCATGAGTTGAGCATGGATAAGATATTCAAAATGCAATATCACTCAAATGAAAAAATTATCTATGAATGCATAAGCTCAGTGCAATTTGAGAACGATGAAAAGGATTTTAGGGATGATAAACTCAAGTTTCGCTTGTTTAACCACAACCACTCCATCACGAAACTTGAGTTTGCCGAATATTTTGGTATTCCGGTCCCTTACCAAAAGTCCATATCCGACAATACCGCTTTCGACCATACCCTATGGACAAAGATGACCGGGGAGACTAAATTTAGCTCCTCCCAACTCTATATTAGTCATGTCCAACATCCCGTCCTCCACCTATTTTTGAAATTCCTTGCCAACTCCTTGCTTGGACGTCCCAACAACCATCACACTAGGATGGAGGATGTATGCCTAATGTCGGTAGCCCTATTCCGTGTTCACGTGGATTTCAACCTGTGTAATCTTATGTGGGCACATCTCAAAAAAGAAAGCGTAGCAAAGGGCGCTATTGTGGTGGGTGAGGTGATTATGCACTTGGCCACCAAGTTCGGGTATACGGATAACTCTCCTATACCTGACTACTGTTTGATGAACATTTCTTGGCTGGGCCACTCGGACTGTACATCTTTTTCACACACAGTTTATGGGGGAGAAAGACCCATGAATATGTACAACTGGCTCATCCACCCCAAACCCCTCAAATACTTCCTCCTGCCCAACCCAGAACTCCCCCAACTCCACTACAAAACATCAAGAGAGGAGCAACATTACTTCTTCCCACACGCCCTTCCACCACATCTCCAGGAACCGGAACAAGAACCTCCCCAACACCAACCCGATTACGAGCTCAATGCTCAACTCCATAGCCATCAAAACATGGGTCAGGACATCCCCGAACAAAGCCAAAACCCTCCACCACCCGACTTCTTTCAACAACTTCTGGAGGGTCAACAACAACTGCTTACGGGATACGCCCAAATGGACAACTGGCTCAACCAATTACAGGAGGAGCAAAGAGCCGGTTTTCAGCGATTGGAGGAGCTCAGGGAAGCCGATAGACATCGGTATGAGGAAGACCAACGTAGGTTCTACGGACCTATGTACTCTTACATAGCACAGCAGAGATCCTTCCATACCATGGCGAACCCCCCTCCACCACCCTCGTGGTATGACCCCACTCATTGGGGTAACTTTGGAGGATCTAGCTCCGGGGGTGGAGGGTACGACGACGGAGATGGCAGGGACACATATATGGGAGATGGTGGCAGAGGGAGCGGCTTCGGAGGGAGCTACTACGGTGGAGAAGGCGGGCACTAGGGACAGTGCTTGATTCAAGTGTGGGGGAGACACTCATGATGGTATGTAATTTTTATTCCCACCTAGCACTATGCATGTAATTCTTTTGAACTTTTACACAAAAATAAATAAATAAATAAATAAAAGAAAATAAATGCTAGTTATGTTGAAAACCCAACAAAATGGGCAATCTAAGCAAAAAGGGCTTATAAAAAAATGAGTGAGTTGGGGAGAATGGAAAATGAAAAGAGATGCTAGGATGAAAACCTGAAGAGGCTCCTAGGCAAAATGAGAGATATGTTTGTTTTTGCAGGCACTCATTGTATCTCTGTGAAAAATAGGAAGATTCAGAAATCAAAGACAAAGAAGAAGAGAGGTGAACACTAGAAGGCCATTAAACCCAAGATGTTCTTTGTAATTTGAGTTTAAAACTCATTTTTTCTTTGTCATCCTTGGTGGTCTTTGTGTTTGTATGTTGTTTTTGTTGAACTGTGGAAATTTTGGAGAAACTTGACACTTGTGAACATTTGATCTTACTCGAGACGAGTAAAGGTTTAAGTGTGGGGGAGTTGATACGTTTGTAATTTCCATATTTATGTTTGTGTTTTTAATTAGTTTTGCTTGATCTTTACTATGGAAATTACACACTTTTGGTGTAATAGATTAGTTTGTTAAATTCTTGTAAATAGGTTAGATTAGATATATTCTGAGCTCAAACAGGTCTTAATCACTCGAAGTACAGTTGGTGAACCCAAAGAGTGGAAAGAAGGTGCAAAAATTTGAAAACAAAAGAAGATCCTGAATTTTGATCTATACTCGGTCGAGTATTAACTATACTCGATCGGGTATTAGCTTGGAACTTCAAATCGGATCAGATCCGAAGACAAAGGAACATGCCGGGAAGATTTCGGCCACGATTTAATGTCTATACCCGATCGGGTAGACCGACATACCCGATCGGGTATGCCTTTGAGTTTTAAACGAAGATCGGTCGAGTATGGTCCGAATACCATTTTCTAAGCATACTCGACCGGGTGTTAGTATATACCCGATCGGGTATACTTATGGAAAACAGAATGAAACCGGTCGAGTATACCTCGGATCGAGTATTACACACATACTCGATCGGGTACCATGTATATACCCGATCGAGTACCCGAATCCCATCCCAAAAGCCTATAAATACACCTCCTTTCCTTCACAAAAAGATATCCAATTCCTTTGTACATCTAAGCTCAGTATAGAATAGCTCTTTCTTTATATTTTTCATCATGTTTAGTCTCCAAATGAGGAGCTAAACTCTTCCATCTTGGTTTTGCTACTTTGAAGTTTAATGAATTTGTAAGTTGTGAGTTATTTTCTTTAATCTTCTTCCTTGAATATTAATTCTTCCTTTAAAATACTATCTCTATATCAAAGTTGGGGAGTGTTACTAAGATGACAATTAGTTAACATCTTGACATTGGTTATAGTAATAGCTATTTCTTCCTCTATGTTAATATTGGGGAGTGTTACTAAGATGACAAATAGTTAACATCTTGATATTAATCATAGTAGGATTCATATTCTTTAATATTTTTCCTTGACCGATCTTAATTACTGGTTAATTAATCCCCCACGTAAGGCGCCAAATATATTAATACCCGGTCGAGTATGCTTAGAAAATGGTATTCGGACCATACTCGACCGATCTTCGTTTAAAACTCAAAGGCATACCCGATCGGGTATGTCGGTCTACCCGATCGGGTATAGACATTAAATCGTGGCCAAAATCTTCTCGGCATGTTCCCTTGTCTTCGGATCTGATCCGATTTGAAGTTCCAACCTAATACCCGATCGAGTATAGTTAATACTCGACCGAGTATAGACCAAAATTCAGGATCTTCTTTTGTCTTCAAATTTTTGCACCTTCTTTCCACTCTTTGGGTTCACCAACTGTACTTCGAGTGATTAAGACCTGTTTGAGCTCAGAATATATCTAATCTAACCTATTTACTTGAATTTAACAAACTAATCTATTACACCAAAAGTGTGTAATTTCCATAGTAAAGATCAAGCAAAACTAATTAAAAACACAAACATAAATATGGAAATTACAAACGTATCAAGTGCCACTAGAGCTCACAATAAAAGCTGCGAAATATAGAAAGCTTATTAGTGAAGACTTTAGCTGCAACTTTTTTCAGGGAACCCAACCACAAAATCAATATGTACGTCCTTATTTTAGTACTTTTACCATTTTAGCTGTGAGAAATTCAAAGAAAGAAGTTCATCTTTGTCTAGATCTTACTGTTTTAGTAGTTGCAAGTCCTAACCTAAACTATGAAAATGTAGTTTCATTTTGTCATTTTGTTCTATCTCCATTGTTAGTAAGGAGCATGAGTGTATGACAGTTGCAGACAGTTCCCTTTTAAAGGAATAATAACATTAAGTTGAGAAATATAGTATGACACTCCAATTTAACGTATTTACATAAGAATATAAGGACATTTTGCCCATACTCATAGTGTATTGTTCAATATATTTTATAATTTCATAATGCTATATACATCACCCATTACAGTACACCGTTTGCTGGTTTTACTAAATTTTGACTACTCTGGTCTGAGTGACCAACCATATCAAGAGATGTATGGAGTATCGTTTTTTTTTTCTTTTTCAACCTGGAAGTATAGTTAACCCTCATTCAATGCCTCCGGATGTAAAGAGTTGTCCTATTTGATTCATTTACTTTTTCAACAATAATTGAAGTTCCAAATATTTCAAAAAAAAAGTTCCAAAATGAAAACATAATACAACAAACTGTCAAAAGTGAACTATACTTCACCCTAAAGATCAGTCTAATTAAGTAACTACTAAACTGTTTTATAGTTATTTCAATTTTTTTAGCAAGTGCTAACTCATGACTTGGATACAATAAAACCTTTCACATATGAGGTGTTTCACAACCATGATTCTGCAGCAGCCACTTTATAGGTTGACCAGATAATTCAAATTGACTAAATCTTTCTTCATAGTACTTTTTATATATAGGTGTGGTTTCTCCAAATAGATATGGCAAATAAAAACATGCTCCGTATAACAGTTCTCATGATTCACATATTTATGATTTAAAACCCTTCTATCAAACACAAAAGAACAAGAATTGTGATTGGACTCTTAGTTATAAACCTGAATTAGGAAGCTATAAACCTAAGTCATAAATTCAAGATAATTTTTTCTTTAAAGAATCTGAATATGAAACTTACCCATTACGAAAGTACATAAAAACCCTAATAAAAAATCAAACTAAAATCGAAGCACAAATTGATCAGACAGAGCATCAGAGATTAAGCCAAATAAGAACTAAGTCATAGATGAGGGAGATAAAGAGCTAATTACCAAGTCAATGCGCTTATGGAATGGAGCGGATGTTATCGCGAAATTCTTGAACGGAACGCAAGGCTTGTAGCTATCTCGAACAGGGCAAAGCAAAGCTTCGGGGGAAAATACGGATAGGAGACGAGGCGATGCACAGAGAAACTTGGCTGGTTACCGAAGGGGAGATCGACAGAGCAGGGGAGGGAGGCGATACGCGAAATAAGTGGGAAACAAAAAAGGGTAATTGGGAAACTAGTAAACTATTTTATAGTTATTTCAATTTTTTTAGCAAGTGCTAACTCATGACTTCGATACAATAAAATCAAGATGGTAATAGAGTTTAGAATTTGATCCAAATTCTGGTGTCTTCAATTTAGATTTGTATAGAATATATTAAAATTTGGAAATTCTCAAAAAATTGAATAACTCATTCCACTATGCATCTCACTCCTACCTCTTGAATTTCTAAATCCATTTTACAAACCTGCGTACACCTACGGCCGTTCTCCCACACACACGACGATTGGGTTCTTGGGTTCTCTTCATCTTCCAACTACGCACACTTCCATCTTCCATCTTCAATTCCTAAACTCCATTCTTACGGCCATTCAAGCTCCCGCATTCTGGAATAAGATGGTTTCACATTCTGGAAGTTCGTGCTCTTGCATAATAATTGCCTAATAGAGAAGGAAGGAGGTAGAACGCATTAAAAAGAATTTCTCGTGAAGAGGGAAGAAGAAGTGTTGGAGTGAAGTTTCTTATCACAACGACCATTGTCATAGATTGGTGGATTCTTGGGGTTTCTTGATTTTCTGTAGTGAGAGTAACGGAAGTATCTTTTAAAAATGAATTTAAAATATCTTATCGTTAACATTTCCCAATGAATTAAAAAAAAGAACGAATATATTTTTTTATCAAAAATATTCCGATAACTTTTTCGACGGCGGTTTGCAGCGGCTGAGCAGGTGTGGGGTTGGGAATTAGGGTGAGGGTTTGCACCGGCATGTATTTCAAATCTATTAAAATCCATTGAAATCCATATGATTCCATGAAATATAATTTCATAGAATTCCATATGAATCTCATCGAATCTGTAGAATTCCATTAAAATCCATAGAATCTACTAGTTTAATAACGCGCGTTGCGCGTTCGTGGTTATGCCACGAACGCATAATTTCATAGACCAATGTAGGCACAACAATATTTCAATTAAGGTTTAGTGAAAATATGAGTAATATGATTACAACAGTTGAACACATAATTTGCTATTTATTGATAAAGATTTATAAACAATAAAGCATTCATAGGTTAGAATATATGCGGGAAAATTATCTTACCTCAAGATGAAACACGTTGAGCTGAAACTGCAAACAATCTCTCAAGCCTAAAAAGAGTTTAAAAAGTACACAGAAGATGAAATTACTTTCTGAAAGATAGAACTCTGAAAACGATACTAAAAGAGTGTCTAATGAAATTGCATGTATCGGTTTTGAAGTAGGAACAAAAGCAATTTCAAAGTCGTAAGAAGTATGGTTAAGTTGTGAAATTCTATAGTTAAAAGACATTAGAAGATGCTTTACGAGAGTTTCAAAGTCTAATGTTATGCAAACTGAATCAGGTGCTAGACACCTCCTGACTGAAAAACAATATATATTATCACTTTCCATATGATTAAGCAAAGAAGATAAACAGTTAATCATGTTATTAACTTATTTTCTAAGGAAAGGCTTTTAAAAAACTTAACTGAAATAGCAGACAAGCTCCAAACAAATACAATTGAACGTGGAAAGAAAACAAAGGCTGGTAGGTTGTAGTTACTTTTTATTCTAAATACCTCATCCGTCTGTATATGTCCTTAATGACTAAAGCTTCATATGTAATACTAATTCTAGATTTAGTTCCATAGGAGCAGTTACATAAGAGCACCCATGCATTTATGTAAGCATATTCAAACTTATCTAAGCCATGCCAGAGAGGTTTACTACTATATATGTCATGCACTGGTCTCACTTATATTCTTATATACGTGGCAGATGGAGACTTGCATTTCCAATGGAACACTACATCTACAGACAGGTAACTACACGTAGGGGATATTGTTAACTGTAGTTTGTTTCACTCATCATGTAGGCCAATTCTGTATATGGTGTTGTTCGGGCATTAGAGGTATGATATGAGATAGATGTAATATATAGGCTTTCTTAGAAATCATATGACATAAAATAAACCTAATGACTGGAATCTTACTTTTCCTCTCATACACAATGAGCCAATTGTGTGCTCTTGATTATTTGGCAAAATCTGTAAATATAGACACCTTTTGCAACCCTGCTGAATTATCTTAAAACTAAAACACTATCTACCATATTATATATGCTTTGGGGTTATTTGCTTGAAATGAGATTAGTTTCAGTCGTATTAGTCTGTTTAGAGCTCGGGGGTTGCTTAGAAAAAGTAATAACAAGTTGTTCAATTTTCCTACGTATATATACTGATATTTTCCCACCATTCTTTGCATCTATAAAAGAACTTGCTCATTGATTTTCCTAGCTACAATGTCCATGAGCTGCACTTAAAAGCAAACATCTGAAATGTGTCTGTAATAGGCTAATAGTCTTCACCTCATTTATTGAGAATCCTTACAGAAAAGTTGTATATTTAAAATCGTTTTAAATTTATTTTCGATGTCTATAACTCTAGGCCAGGAATATAGGGATGAAATAATAGAACAATCTTAGAAGGAAAGAAATGTTGGGGAAAATAAATTTTTGGTTCACACTCAATAAGTTTATGTTAATTTTTCCGGCTTCCTAAACTGTTTATTTGCTTTGAATGCTAAGAGACATTAAGAAATGCAAAAGAAAATTAAACACTTAATCATATTGCATTTCCTGAAGTATGACAAAACATGTGAACATGGTTTGGGGCATTAAAAACTGAACTGCTCTTTTTTTGGGTGGGGAGGGTGAAACTGGTGTATTGACTCTTTAACTGGCTGAGGTTGTTTCTTATTTCTTAAACAAAAAATTTTGATCCTCTGATAATCGCTACATATTTTTTCCCTATTATTATTGACGTATGATATTTGATCCTTTGAAGTTGGTGTGGTTCATGCCATCCTAAGCCTCCTAAGCACCATTTTAATCAATATTTAGTTGGCAACTTTTAAATTTTGTTATTTCAAAGTAGATGTCACCATTAACACATGTATTTACTTGAGACATATTAGCACATCCTTTCTACCTCACATAGAAGAGTTCCTTTACAACAAAGAAGTAAGATCGAAGCTGCCAAAAATCAGCAGGAGATTGAATGAGCTTTGATGGAGTATATGGGTCCAGGCCCCAGGACCCACATACTCGGAACAGAAAGCACAGCCACTACGCGGTGCCCTCGTCGGCCAAAGACCCTCGTCGGCCGAAGAGGGGCCAACCCAGAATATGATCTTGAAGCCAAGGAACCAGGGTGTCCTCGTCGGCCGTGCCCTCGTCGGCCAAGACCCTCGTCGGCCACGGGAGACTCACAGAATCGGATTTTACACTTATTCGTTTGTACAGCCCACTAGTGGCTTTGTATTCGGCCCAATAGTGGTCCAGTTGTAAATGGGCCTCCCAAGCCCAAGACTTGGGAGCCCAGCCCGTATTTTCCCTATAAATACTTCCTCTGAAGGTAGTTATCAGGGTGACAAATCATTCTATTGAAGCATATATTGCACTTCTCTCTCTAGCTCTCACCTCTCTCTAGATATATACTCTATCATTTGGTGCTCTCGTTGAGAGCTAGAACAATCAAGTTAGCACTCTTCGTCGCTACCAAGCACAGCTAACCACTGATCATGGGAAGAACTAAGTCAAATCGCAACCTCGTCAGCAAGGCCATACCTGAGGACCAGGAGACCAGGGAGCACGAGGAGGATGCTACGGCCGACCAGGTCGGCGGAGGGGACGTCTTCCAGGAGGCCATCAACCTCACGACGGACCTCCGCAACCAACTCAACGGCGGAGCCCCTGATGCCCGCATCGGCTTGGACAAGAAACGAGCTGAGAAGACAGACCACGCCCCGGCCCAACCTATGGTCGCGGCCTCTCCGTCTGTGGATCCACAGGTCCAGGCCGCGCTGTCGGTCATCATCGCCAGCTTGGCCCAGAACCCCACCGTCCTCAACGCTCTCTTGCCAAGGACCGGGGGGAACGTCACTCCACCTCCTTAGCCCCAACCGTTGGCCGTCCAGATAGGCAACGATGAGGGGGTGATGGCCCAGGACACGGCGTCGTCCCACTCCCACCCCGCTTCCCCTCTTCGGCCTGGGCAGACCCCAACGCGTGGAAAAGCCTCTGCCTTCAATAGGCTAGGTGACACGCGCCGTCGTCCGGTTTCAGAGAGGATGGCAGGGCGGATTGGTGAGCGTTGGCCTGGCTCGCCAAGGGAAAGCTTGGGGTCTGTGTCCCGGACAGCGGACCAGCCCCGCCTAGACAAGGGCAAGGGGAAATTGCACGAGGACGACGTGCGCCACCAGATCAATGCAGCCCACGACGAGCGCATGAGAAACCAGTAGGGCGCCGCTGCGGCCGCCAGGGATCCCCGGGACGAGGTCATCGCCCATCTGGAAAGCAGGCTGGCCCAGATGGAGGCCAGGCAATCGGCGAACATCCCCACGGCCGGCGCCTCCAACGATCCTGGCCTCAACGCTCTCATGAACAAGGTCAGCACCCTGGAAAGGGAGTTGGCCGAAGGACGAGGTGACCCCATCATCCAGGTCAGGACCCGGACCCCTTTCACCAACAGGGTGCTCTCGGCCCCCATCCCGGAGAAGTATAGGGGGAACGCCATCAAATCCTACGATGGCCGATCAGACCCCAGGAACACTTTAGCCGCTATCAGAACAACATGCTGATGGTGAACGCATCGGATGAATATCTCTGTTGTTGGTTCCTCTCTACTCTTGAGGGGCCAGCGTACGAGTGGTTCAACGCGCTCCCCGAAGGGAGTATTGACTCATGGCAGGACCTTGCCCAACGCTTCCTCACCCATTTTGTCGGGAGGAAGCGCGCGAAGAAGTATTTCACCCATCTCCTCTCCGTCAAGCAGCAGCATGATGAGTCCCTCCGGTCATTCATTGATCGGTGGACG